GTACTGATGTCCAAAATTTAAAATTAGTGTCTAAAATGTAAAATCGGAGATTAGAGTGACGTTTCCTCAGATTTTCGTGAATCCTGAGGCAGAGGAACCGTGACACGAAAACTACCCATAATGTCTTCCAAAGTTGTTGCGTGAACTTTTTCGCTTTTTTTCTGACAATCTTTCTCAAAACAGCTCTTCATGGGCGTTTTCACATAGAGTGTCAAAATTGATTTGGGGCTAAGTGGATGGCAACATTCCTAACCAGTTATTTTTCTTTATTTATATTTGTCCAGTCTTGCAGGGTCAGCAGAAATTAATCGGCATGTACATGGGGCATCTTCTGTTGGTACAAAGTATACTTCTTGCATTTGGAGGTGAAAATTTCAGCACAAGAATTTTAGAACACGTCTTATTAATCTTGGGTGAATAAGCTGGTTGCACTAAATTATATACTAAGATATTTGTTTATATCAAATGTTTAAGCTGTTTTCGTTAACTTCTTAAAGGTAAGCCAGGAGAGGTTATGGAAAGAGGAACGTAGGGAATTATAAATCTGCTCATCATATGATCTTGATCTTTAATGAGGGTGCTCCACTCATGCAAACACGGTTTTCAGGGAGGTCCTAACTAAATGTCAAAAAATATAAATAAATAAATAATAAGGATATTTAACAATTATTATACGAACGCGTGTTGGATATGAGGTGATAGAAAGCCAATTAGGCGCGTAGCGCCGAGTTGGCTGTAATCATTTCATATCCAATAAGCGCGAGTGGGATAATTGTTTTATTAAAAACGTTAAATTTAATTAAATTTTATTCAATTTTTAGCTCCTTTTAATTTTAAGCTGACACGTACGCTTGCCATATTTATAGATTATGGTATATTGGCTGATATACCATAATGGCTAAGCCAATAAAAAGTCTTGAATTGCATTATCCAATGATCTAGTTTTTAATAATGATAATTATAAAACAGATTGAAAAACCTGGGTCATAAAAGGTATAGTAATATTCCCATGTTTATTTCTGTTTTGGACAACATTCCAGATAAAGTAAATTCAACAACGGTCAGAAAAGTTTCATAGTTGTAACACCTGCTAGTATAATACGACAGCCACCATACAATGATGCGACCATACTCGCGTGGTGGCATTAACTTAGGATATGAATTGGAAGAAACCTAAAAACATTGCTCAGAAAAAAAAAACGTTTGATGCTTTGTCCTACCTAAGAAAAGCGAAAATCAAACCACTGTAAGCTGGCAGGTTTCGCAAGATTCTATCGTGCCTCGTTCGGAAGTCTCCTTAATATAATATTCTTGGCGTATCGGGTAATTCGTGTGCACACCCAACGGCTGACTTTGATTTCGCCCAACGAGAAATTTACTTCGTTTTGCGTTCAAATCGTAAGAAATAAAACGAAGCAGAAATGATTAATAACTTAGCAAACATGGTATTTCCCTTCAGTTTTTATGAGGACATTTAGGGTTTCTTGATAGGGTTTAGTCAAATTGGCAAATCCAAAGAGTGTTCTGTTAACTAAAATGACTACACGGAAGTCGGATCATCCCTTCTAATCAAAATTTCAATAACAGTTAAAAAGCTTTGAACCCTGAAAGAAACTTTCTTTTCTTAGTTGCAAAATGACACCAATTTTTTCGTTCAACATCTGAACTCCTTCGTCCCGCGCTATATGACAACTTAACAAAACTCTAACAACATCTTTCTTGAATCTAAATTTAACCTCAGTACAGGGCGGTTTTTTGAGTGCTCGATGAAATCAGGCGGCACAAGCAACAGAACTTAAACTTCAAGTGGCTAAAAATGTGTTTGTTAAAAGTAGAGCTTCTTGTCACTAGCTTGGTCATTGTAACCGAGTGTCTTCAGTACCTTTTGGCACACTCCGTAGAGCAAAAGATCTGATTCTTTCTAGGATGACGAAGGAACTGCTTTCCGATGAGCGATCTCCTGCACATGCCACACTTAAAGCACCAGTCTGTCGCGTGCCAAAAATCGCCCTCGTACTCTATCCTCTGCGCATCAGCGTTGATAATTTCCCGGCATTCAAAGCACTTCCTAGCGTACAGTCGGTTGTAGCACTGCATGCAATGTGGATGGCCGTCACGTGCAACATACAGGAGACCTCCCAGATCCAAGTCACACTCATAACAACAGAAATGCTTCCGGTGCCAATTTCGTTCCTCTGCTTGGGTGTACTCACGGCTAAAGATCAGCTGAAGAGAAGAAAAAAATAAAACACCAAATAAAATGCTGTTAGTTTTGTGCAATTTTATGCAAGGCCGATTGTTCCGAGTTAAATGTTGTCTGGAAAGACGTTATAAATTAGCTCCATCACGAAAACGTGCAAATATTTGACATGCAGGTTAAGCAAGCATGCAGTGAGTTTGCGCAAAGGTTACTCTTTGCCTACTTCCCAACTTACATCAATCCCTTTAGGCTTCCCCCCCCCCTCTCCCTTTCATATTATTTTATTCAGTTGAGCTCCACAGCAAAACCGGAAATGATAAATCAGTACTACTGCACTGAAATTTTTGCTGAAGCTGGTATATCGATGGACACCACCCAATGAATAGTGAACGTCTTTATTTATTTATTATTTCTTTTATTACTGGTTTGTGTACTGCCATGAGGAGTTTTTAGTCACAGAGTGTATATTTTCCTATCGTTCGAAGTTTGTTAGATTAGGCTCTCTTGGAATCCTTTCTTCACCTCACGGGTGGAACTGGAGAATTTAGAAGAAGAGTGTTGTGCAAAACATGGAGCGTGATGGTCAAACCAATCACACATTAACAACAACCGTTTTTAAAGACCATTTATTACACGACTCGGGCAGTCAGAGGGTCAGTAACTAAAATCAACCAATCAAAATGCTCTATTGCCGGTCCAATATTCTCTAAGTATTGGACCGGGCACTGTCCCGAATGGTCCCGAATGATACCGCACTTGTGTCCCTTTGAACTTCAGTCGTATAATAAATCTCTTATTCACCAAGCTTGCTCGGGACCGTACTGGAAGAATATCGGCCCTCACGCTTAGTTAATAAGATATATATACAGAAAAAAACAAAAAAGAAAAAACGAGAAAGCTTAGAGAGGAAAATCAGCCATTATAAGGGTCGCTGCCCCCCTGTCCCCAGCCCCCATCAGCTGAAAAAAATCAATATTTTTAGGTAGCAGCTGCTTCAAGACTTACTTCATCACAGGCAGCACAGCGAGGCTTGTACAGCTCAGCATAGTGCCTTCCACAGTAGATAGCTCCTTCCTTGAAGAAATAAATCAAATCCACCAACAGATTGTTGCAGATTGTACACACAAAGCACCCTGGATGCCAGCATTTGTTCTCTCCAGCACGAGATGCAAAAACAGCTATTTCCCCTAAATTGATATTGCCACCACATCTGTAACAAGTCTGTAAAAAATGTTTCAGTAGTTAGACCAGGAATTTATTTCAAACGTGATTAATTTCTCTGAAACCAATTGACCAACCAACTTCTTTCTGTCTGACTGACTAACTAAATGTATTAAAACTGGTTGATATACTTCTGACTTTCAGAGTGATTCATTAACTGACTGACCGATTGGGTAACTGACCTGCTGGCTAGCTGGCTAACCACCTACTGGCTAGCTGGCTAACCACCTGCTGGCTAGCTGGCTAACCACCTGCTGGCTAGCTGGCTAACCACCTGCTCGTTCACTGACAGAAGCAATGGCTGACTCCCTTGATGGCTAGCTGACTGGCTGTGGGAAAGGCTGACAAATTAGCTGACTTTATGACTGGCAAACTTATGGATGACTGATACAGAAACTAAATGATACTTTCCAACTGATTGGCTGTTGACAAGTTAGCTAGCTAACCAAATGCATGGATTGTTGATCGAAAGATAGAATGGCTGATTGTCTTGCTGACCAGCTGACAGACTATATTGCTGTGTGACTGGTTCACAGATAAGCTGACTGACTAAAAAATTAAACGAATAAAGGCTGATAATTTCTAAAGAAACTGTTTGGGGCTGCATCGGTGGGGATAACGATATAATTTGAATGTATCAACAAAGTTGAAATGGTAAATTGGCCACTGTTACTGTTATAAAAGCTGATGTTTCGAGCGTTAGCCCTTCGTCAGAGCGAATAGAGGAATTGTGGGTTGTGTGTGCTTTTAATGGCAGAAAATGGAGCTACGTGATTGGTGGGAATATGGCAACGAGAAAAACACGAATAGATTAGTGGAATGAAAAGAGTTTGTTGATACCTGTGGGATTTAGACTGCCGGTTTGAAAGATGAGCTTTTGTTCAAGAGTTTTGCGGCTTTCCNGATGTGTCCTTGTCATTCCTCTCCACGTCGCATTAAATGGACAACTGATAGAGCCACAGCTGACTGACTTTCACACTTTCTGGCTTACCCACCAACTTCCAGACTTGCGAATATGAATTAAGCTACTGAAACAATAACCTGATTACCTGTGTTGACCATTTAGCTGTACTTGTATTTTTAGTTTCAGTACTCACCCACTTGGATACAGGGTTGGTCTTTTCTCGCACATCACCAACCCCAAGAGCATTCTGGTTTCTATCCTCACAGAACTGCCTCATGCTAGCTTTCTCTCCTTCAGTCAAACTATCGCAATATTCTGGATCATGGTCATGAATAGGAAGCTGGTACATCATCTGTTTGCGGCGATACTTTGCACCTTCACTACCAACTTTAGGTTTAACCGCTGGAGGCAGTGACTCCATGTACTTCATTAACTGGGAAGGAAACACATAATAGTTTTTAGCTGTGCAGAAAAAAGTACTGTAAGATTAGTAGCCTGATTCGTTGATGCCCAAACAGAGGAAGGAAAAATGAAACATTCTTAAAGGAGATTTGACCCAAAAAAAAGTCCAACAAGTTCCCATGTTGAGTCAATTTTTACCTCATAGATGACTATTCCCACATACACAGAAACCTTAACTGTTTACCTCCCATGAATGACTAAGACAGAATTTCTCCTCAGAATATCAAGTGATGAGAATAAATTCCCTCTTGTCACTCCCTGTGAGCAACAATTTATATCTGTTCTACTAAATGCAAATGAATTGTGTGAACTGAGCTCTACTGTGACACTTACTACACCCTGCTGCAGACCTGGTGGAACCCAGGCATATTGCTTGGCATACTCTGACTGCTGGCCCCTGTTCTTGTTGGCATCCTCCAATTTACGGAAGTAGTCGCGGATGTGTCCCACAGGAGAGTCTTTAGAAAATAAGCTGTGTACAACCAGTTTATGGGCAGCCTCCTCCACACTCTTAATATCATGTTCTTCTGGTTTACATTTGCAAGTCTTACAGATTTTTCTGTAGATTGACAAATTAAAGAAAGAGTAAACGTCATAAATTATGCCAGCATAATCTTGGGCATAATTCTTTAGTTAGATCAGGGCTGTGGTCTAGCAGCACGTGGTGGCCCCTGGCGCCTTACTTTTGTTCCTAGGCGAATTGGGAATTTAGTTTTTTTTATATAAAAACTTAAGCTCTGTACTCTCTTCAGTTTTTCTTAGAGCACAACATCAACCCTAACATCAGTATGTATATTCTCCATATTGTTCTCTATTCATTTCCTAAGGTGCTGACAAGGAGAATTTGTTTAACAATCAAGCACTTTTTTTAGTTGATGATGATTTATGTTATTCTTATTACCTTAAAAATTGATTCAGGGGTGGTATTGTCAGGAGAAATTGGATTCTCATCACTCTTAGGGGTCAAAGGGTTATGGAACACTAACCTCCAGAAATGGAGGTCCAATCCTCCTTCACATTTCACGGGGCCGCACTGTAGGCAGGGGGCCCCTGCATTCATCTCATGGCCTAAAGTGAACTACAAATTAAAGGAGACAATGCATACAAATAAGACTAAAGATATTTGCCCTTTCAAAACAAACTTGCTCAAGGAAATATATTATCAACATATCATTCTGCAATATCTACACAAAGTTATTTGTGCAGAAACAATTGAAACAATTTAGAACTTGCAATTATACAACTACAACATTGTCATTATTTTTATTGTTATTTTTTTATGTTGGGTACAAATAAAGTTGTTGTTGTTGTTGTTACAACACTATTGTATGAATCCCACACACTTTTGATTAAGACTTAAAAAACAACTCTTATGAGTGATGAAAACTTCAACAACAGAATTGAGTCATCACATTCTTGGATGGTTCTTTTATTGAGCTGACTCAAGAAGGCTTCCTTTTTATTTTTTTTTAATTACCACCCCCTGTCACCAACAATAGTTATGTTCAGCACATCTCTACTCTGAAGACCAGATTACTTGAACAAACTGTCTGACTGCTTCAAATTCTTTCACTGTGCAATTAATGTTAGAAGCTCTGGACCTGAAATTTGACACCCAAACTCTCTTTTATATTCTCAAAGCTTTCAAGACTCAAGTAGTGATTTTTGACTTACAATAGAGCTGATTTATCAAAATACATAGTCTGATTTTATTAATGCAAATTAAATTATATACAATCATTGTATAAAATTATTATGTAAAAGTCTTAAGAGCCATACAATTTAGTGAGAACTGCACCACAGGGAAGTAAAGCACATACATTACCAACCAGAAATGTGAGGTTTTGGGAAAAAACTTGGAGTCAAAACACAAGTAAAACTGATTTTAAATGACATTTTGATCATTCTTTATCATTAACTTTGATGTTAAGCACTGACTATCTAGGACAGCTGTAGTATGAGGAAAAAGGGTATGAAACAAAGAAGTAATTATTGAATTTAATGGGAAAAAATTTGCTTAAGTGTTGATTGTTCACTTTTTTTCTTCTCAGAAAGCATTCCAGATGAAAGAAACAAAATTTTCTTTAACATCTCTTCACTAGTGTAGAATTTGAAAATGGTGATAAGTTAATTACAATCTTAAAAATTTTCAAAAGTAAAATAATAATATGTTAGAAATGAGACCCACCCAAACAAATATTAACATCATATTGTCTGTTTAAGTATCTTATATTGATTCAGTTTTTCCAAACCAATATTTTTTATCAAATCTTATAGATTTACAGTCTAAGATAAGTTTTCTGATGTCATAGAAGAGCTGTAAGGTGTAGAGACTACTAAATATGGTATCCAATGGAAAGAAATTAAACTGCCTAGGATTTTCAAAACATTTTGTCATGTCTAATGATCTATTATGAACAAACTTTGGACTATTTCCTAGGGTGATCACATGATGAACATCCACTGTAAAAACTGCGTAAAACATCATAGAGACAGTTATTTCTTCAAATTCAAACATTTTTTAAAAGCATATAAACTGAGATAAACTTTGTTTAATCAACACAATATGTAAAAACCTGGGACCTCTGAAATTTCGATTGAGTTTTTTACACAGCTGTGCTGTTTACACCGAAATATATACAGACATCTCCTGCGCATGTTATGTGGAGCTTCAAGATTTATTCGCACCATGAATCCATGAAAAACATTTTTACTGGAAAAAAGGTCTCAATCTGTGCTTGAATGTACGGCAATTATTACCCTGAAGCTAGGGGAGATATATGTTTGAACGTGAATGTTAGTGACCTCAAATTGTAATACATTTACAGTTATAACTTCCTTCGGAGTTTAAGAATTTATCAGGAAAGAAATGGAAGGGAAAACATACTAGTTAACGATCTGGCAACCAAAGAGATCGTTTGGATAGACAAATATTTAGTGTCAAGGGGGAAACAGAGTAATCAGACCGATTGGAAAGAAATTTTAAACGGTAAATAAACGAAGAATAGGACCATAACAGAGGACGTCGAGCCCTTTAACTGCAAGGAACAGTATCCTTAAAGCATTAAAGGGTAAAATTGAGATAAATTTTTAGAGAAGAGTATGTAAAACAGAGAACCGAAATTTGGCGAACTGTCAATCCAAGAAAATAATGCAACAACGAATGTGTAAGTTGAGAATGAATAATCAATAATATTTAGCTTTGATCGATTCCAACAAACATCGAAACACTTTTTTCCAGCGAGCGTGTTTTCAGAGGTCGTGATTACTGTCTAAGATCAACTGTATTAACTGCCATGTCCTTTGACTCAACCAAAGATTGCCATCATTTCCATGAAAACTTACAAAAATATCGCATGACACATCGATGTGGAGCGTGTTACTAACATCAGTGCCACTAACCTTTTTTGGCATGTGTAAATTGAGTCCGTCCTGCGACCCCTCTGCCATGTCTTTGGCAGATTACAAATTTCAACACTATTGGTGGTATCCTAAACGTATTCTCAAGGTCAAAAGTTCGATAATAATGCAGCCAACAGCCAAATTACGATTCCTGTTAATACCTCTACAGACTCTTGAATATTTTCCTTCCCTCCTAAAATGCTAACGGACGTGACGTCAACGCCGAAACTCGTGATGAATGATGGGTCAATCGAAGAACGAGGGAGGGGAGGGTGAGGTGAAAATAAGATCCGTTCAGAAGATTTCTGAGTCTCAGTTATTGTGGAATTAAAATATTATGTATGGACTGTTTTCCCTCAACTTCTTAGCCTCCTCCATATGAATGAGATATCAGTTGACATTGCATATCTATCTTCGTTTTGCTCGCATCGCTGTGCTTAATAAGTGAAGAAAAACCCGTGCTTAAATTTCCAAAAGACAATCACTCTCTAATCTTTTCAATTTCAAACTGTTCCTTCGTTGGATTTCCGGCCGTATTAATCTCATTGGTAAGATATTGAAAATATCCGTCTACATAGAAAACTATATAAATTATTCTTCATGGGAAAAAATTTCAGTTTATGATAAATATAAAGTTGCATTCTATGCATCTCTCAAAAATTTCTCTTTTCAGTCCACTCAAAAGTTGAGTATTTTATAAGCTTTATGTGACACTCACAAAGCCGTTTATAAACAAGCCATTCAAAGAAACCTGAGCGGATGAGTACTGTTCATCCCAAGACTTTGAATGTGCGAGGGAAAAACACAGTCACTTAACTTCTTTCGTAGCCTAAAAACGTCGAATATTGGCAGAGGGTACGACAAAGTCGTGATACGTAAGCTATATGTTAATTAGGTGGCTTTTAGCGTAATAAAGTTTAAGCGATAGTCACTAGAAACTTCCGAACAAGCGCATTGATTATGGTTACTTCTCTTTGGTTGAACAAGACGCCAAGAAAAAGACAACAGAAAGCTCACGCACTTACCTCGCGAGGCATGTCTTGTCGGTATATATCCTATCGTCATCCACTAAACTAAAATAAGACAAAATGCATTCGAAAGCCTCCGTTTTAATCCCTGAAGCTGAGCGTGCATGCCACCGCTCTGACCCTAATTCACAAACCGGAAAATCTAGTTATTGTCCTTCACTAAATCTCTGACGTAGCAAGGCGTGTGCTGGAATGGTGACAACTTGTCACCACTTGCCCACTGGCTCAAAGAGTCTATGGCGTGGCTCAAAGTAAGGAGAAGTTGGGAACGAGGCTAGAAACACAATCTTAAACACTGCAAACTTCTTCTTCGAAACGTCAGCTTTTGTAATCGTTACGGTGGCCAATTTACCATTTCAACTTTGTTGATATATCCAAATTATTTCGTCACTCCCACCGACGCAGCCCCAGACAGTTTCTTTCGAAACTATCAGCCTTTATTCTTCTTTATCTGTACGTTGGGACTTAAACTTGTAAATATGGAGAATATCAAGAATGAAATATATACGAGTAGTTATCAAATGGTGCTACATTTCCATCGCCACACTTTCATGTAGCTGTAGACAATCCGCATTCTCAACGGAGTAAAAGACTTGTTAAATCACATGATAATCTATGCTTTGTTGGGTACAAGTTTTTAACTGTATCTTTATTCCTTACAATATTCTTTTCAACTGAAAAAAATTTTTTTACTCTTCTAACAAATTAATTACCGCTAAGTAGAACATATTTCTAAACCTTATTTTTTACGTGTATATAAAAAAGAAATACTCACTCACAGACCTACTTTTCTATAATGAAAAATAAAAGTAAATTTTTACCAGAATACATTGTTTGCATAAGACTTAAAGGAAGTGATTTTAAACTTTTTTTAAATCAACATCAAACGCAAATCTTCATCCCTAAATAACCACTGGAATTACCGTTGAGAATGCCTTTGATATGTCTCTAGAATATAACTGAGTGTAAATGACCTAATTTACCCTTTAACTATAGTTGCAGTTTAACAGAACAACACGTATACTCGAAAATACTTCGAAGTTGAGCGCTAAATCAACCGAATTTAAAACTACGATATCAAATGCAATGTATATGCGAGTAGCTTAATCACATCAAAATAGGTATCTCACAAAAAGCTAAATTTGATACACATGTTCAAGTAAATTAGGATCGACTAATACTTGGATACTGCACTGCTTCCTGCTCTTAAACTTAACTGTCCCCTTAAATTAATCTATCAATTTGTTCTTGCTATTTTTACCTAGCTGTAGATTGCTGTTCCCTTTGAACAAATAGCGCGGTAAATAGCATCAAAGCTGTGATCTTATTTTTAAATAGAATCACAACTTAAAAGAAATTTTCCAAACTTTATTTAACGTGGTTATCATTTGAAAAAAGAGCTGCGTCGAATAGATCAACTCGCAGTGTATTGTATGACACCTGTTCGCATTTAAGACTCATCTTAAGCGTTTAACTATCGATGCACAATGCTGCCTTGTGCAAAATATGTTCAGTTAAAATAGCTAAGGAATAAACTGTTTCACTGCTCAGTGGTTAAAATTTGAATAACGTTAAGTCCATCCTCACTGTCCACTTTTCTTGCCGAAATATTCTCCACTTCGGTCAAATACACAGTGGTCAGGATAATTTCACTTTTATTGCTGTTGATCCAAACATTCCTCCACATGAAGCTCCAGGGTTTCTATATCAGGAAAGAGCTCCATGCAGCTTGGACACTGATTTTGCTGAAGATCGCCTTGGGAAGGTGGTCGCTGGTGTCCCTGGCATTCCACAGCATGTATCTGAAGAGTATCAAAATTCGGAAACAACCTGCGGCAGGTTGGACATTGCCAATCATTTTCATCCTCCGGAGGACCAGGGGCTGGTTGTTCCCTACCGGGACTCCGTATGTCCCCCTCTCTCCCGGTTTCTAAAGGATCCCCGGATCCACGGGGGCACAAAGGCATTCCAGAAAACCATTCTCTGGGAGGTTCATGGTTTTGGGGTGGGTAGCTTGTGGTAAAACTGGCATGGCGGCGTTGCATTTCCTCGAATCCTCTGTTGTTTAACTGATAGATCTCATCCTGGTATCGCTGGTTTTCCCGCTGAAGCCGCTGGACATTTTCAGTCAGACCCAATAACTCCCCATGTTGCTTCTCTCTGGCGTCGCGTTCCATTCGAAAATCATCCTCATACTGTTTCAACTAATGTTGAAAGAAAAAAATTTAAAAATGAACTTAAAAATGATTATTCAAATAAAGAATAGACGAAACAAAGAACAAACGAAAGGACAAATAAGCGAACAAAGGAGTGAACGAATGAATGAATGAGCGAACGAACGAACGAACGAACGAGCGAACGAACGAAAGAACGAACGAAAGAACGAACGAGCGAACGAACGAACGAACGAACGAACGGGTCTATTACGAATCAACTTAACGGCCTGCTCCCAGTTGGCTTGTTAGCTCGATTGGTAGAGCGCTGCACTAGTATCGTAGAGGTCAGTGGTTCGAATCCCGAACAGGCCTGATTTCTTTCAGGTCTGATTTTCGCTATTGCATAAATAGCGCTCTCTACTGCGAGGATCGTGCATCATAAGTATCATCATTATTAATAACGATAACAATGATAGTAATATTGATA